TTGGCTTGCCCTCCCTTGTTGTTAGTATGTAGCCGATTTTGGTGAGTATGATGTCCTTTATATAGTGTGTCACATCTAGGGTAACACCATGTAAACCTTAATGTGACATAACTCTTCATTTCCATGACCCATGGGTTTATAACTCCCATGGAGCATCCTATGGGTTTAACCCAACTTGATAATCCATGGAGCCTTTAGCCCACTATACAAGTTATGGATAATTTACATAATCAACCCATATATTTAATTAGTTATCTTTTGATCACTTAATTAATTCCAAATTAATTCTTGATCAATACTAATTAAATAATACTATTAATATATTAGAACATATAATATATTAATAAACCACAAGTGTTATTTCTCTCATTAAGTCTATCCAAATGCATGATGCCATTAAACCCAAATGGACCATGTTGGGTCGGGTCAAGTACATACCAAATATAGTTATGGACTTAGACACCTTATCCAGCAGGGCATACCAAGGAGAAGGGACTATGTGAGGCGTAGCGGGGTGGAACGCGCATCGTAGGTGCGAAGGCTAGATCATGAGGCGCTACCTCGTACACGAGGAGTACCAAAGGGTACGTTGGGCGTATGAAGGTTAGGCTTAAAACCATAATTTATGGGTTGTACCCTATATAAGCATAATGTTACCCTCGTTCTTCATTCCCTAAAGCAGCCCCAACCTATAAAACCCTAGAAATCGTCATTAACCATTCGTGGTGGCATTTTGAGCTCATGGAGGACTTTTGTGGAGTGTTTGGTCCATTTCCAAGAAGATGGAGCTTGGTGCAAGGATGGGAATCAAGGAGAAGCTTAAGGATCTGGCTTTTGTGACTCATTTTCAGCTTGATGAAAGTATAAGCTTTGAACTTGATCATTGATGTATTAGATCTACCATTTATGGGTTTTCGTACAGTTTAGACCCATGTATGAGATCTAGAAGCCTTGATCTCATTCCGATAGCTTTGAGTTGTCCCTCTTAGTTTTTATAAGGTTAAAGGTCCATAAAGTTGGTACCTTTAGAGTCTAAGACCATCTATGGTGGAGTTTGAGTCATTTCCATGCATGTAGAATGCTATTTGGTCTTTTTAGGGGCATGTTTATTCACCAACTCAATGAATTTAACAGTTCAGATGTCATTTGGGACTCAAATCTGTAGTTTGGACTTATGGATTAAAACATTATGTGCTTAATGGAAAAAATGGTATTAAGAGGGAAGTACGATGGGCGTATAGGCAAGAACCCACAGCGTACAAGCCATTAAGCGAGTACGCACATCGTACTCCTGAGTACGCCCTGCATAGTCGGTCAAGTTCGATTTCACAATTGTGGGCCTCGGGTTGGGCCATTTCATGATCTAGGTTGTTGTGGGTCTTAGTCGGCCAATTGGAAACATGGTTATGGACTAAGGAAAATAGTGGGCTTTAGGATAAGCCCCATCAGAAAGGTTTGGACCCAATTTGGAAAATTGGTTCATTATTGGGCCATATTTGGGCTTTAATGATTATGGGTTATTGGACCATCGGATTGCTAAGTGTGTTGGACTGAAAAGAATGATTGGGCCTCATGTCAGGAACCATGTAAAGGTTTGGGCCTAATATAGAAAATTATGCCATTAATGGATTTATGTGCATTATAGTGTTAGGCTTCTATTTTGGGTATGGGCCTTAGTTTTGGATCATACTCGGCCAGGGGTAGAATGGTCATTTTATCCCAAGAATGGATTAAGGATTATAGTATGGGATCCAACTTCTAATTGGTATATTGATTGGTATTAATAGCTTGGGAAACTGGCAAGGTAGCAAATAAGGATTTCATTCGGGGAGCTTCTAAATTAGAGGTGAGTCTCGTCACCATACCAATGGGTCTAAAGCACCAAGCCGGCCCATTTATCTAGTTGTGATGATTATTGTGGATGTATTATCAATACATTATGTATTTATGTGAAGACCATGCGGGGGTTCCCATGGAAATTAGTTATATGTGATATGTTATTTGATTATGTGGTATGTGGTATGATAGGTGTCTTTGTGATACTTGCATAGAAGACCTGGGGGGTTCTCGAGGCACTTGGGTGTAAGACCTTGGAGGGTTTCCATGGCATCCTAAGCAAAGACCTTGGGGGGTTCCCGACGCACTGGGGTATAAGATCTTGGAGGGTTTCCATGACATCCTTAGTTAAGACCATGTGGGGGTTCCCATGGCACACAGAGTAAGACCATGGAGGGTTTCCACGACTTCCTTATATGTTAGTATGCATGACCTATGTAGCTTATGTGATTTATGCGATAATGTAGATTGTGTGGGGGTATGCTCTGGGGAATACACTAAGCTTCATGCTTACAATTTTGTTTTTGGTTTCAGGTATCATCGGTTTGGAAAGGAAGGGTCTGGCTTGATCGCAACGCACACATTCATGTTTTCCACATTATGTGATTTTTGGATGTACTCTGATAAATATTTTAAATAAACCATGTTTGTGAATGTTTGAAATAAGTGACTCTTTAGTCTTACTATATTGAAAAATGAAATTTTTACCCTGCATTTTTGGGTCGTTAGATAATCCGGTTTATGTGCGTCCATTGTAAAAGTCTACAACCTTTCCCTTTGTTGTTGATCGCCTTACATTTCGACGTTTTGGATTTGTTCCTTGGTTCCTTGATGAATAATGATTCTCTATTGAACTTTTCCATATATGTACCATTTTGATATGTACATAAATGTTGAAGTCTACATGTATGTTTTGTTGTTAGTTAACGACACCAGGCATGTTTTGTGTGTGTGTGTGTGTGTGTGTGTGTGTGTGTGTGTGTATATATATATATATATATATATATAAGTGTTGTAGGGTAGAGTTTCATGAAAACGTTTTTCGTACATTTAGGCATTTCACTCTTTTTCATCGGTTTGTATTTTAACCTGCATACAGATCAATATTTGTGTTGAAAAAAACTATTTACATGATGTGTTCTTATATTTTACCATGTCTTGATTCGTTTAATTGAGTTCATAACTCATCAATCTTGCTCAAAATTGCAATAGAGTAAACTACTAACATACATAAATTACGGTGACTAGAAAATAGAGATGGTGAATGCACTCTGAAAAAGAAAGTGAAAATGACACATATGTCATATGAAGTTTTTAGGGTTTACCTTTTTAGTACCTAAACTATTTTGATGGTTTTACGAGGGACCCAAGTCCTTTTTGTCTGGTCCATTAAGTCATTTTGGCCACAATGAAGAGGTCACCTGATTACTCATTTGCCACATTAGCATTTGTTGACCAATTCCCTTAAGTTTACTTTGAATTTTCCCAATTTGTTGACCAGACTTGCCACATCACCAACTGTGCTCTGTTTGAGTTCTTTAATTTTAAGAGTTCAAGGAGGCCACTTTGATGGCGGTGCTTTTGACTACCCTTGCCCCATCAAACTCTATTCATCACAAAATCAAATCTTAAGGAAATTAGACCATGCTCTCGTTTGACTCATTTTTCTAGCAGAAAACGTAAAAGGAAAAGGGCCAAGGCAGATCAACGACTTCAGAGGGGGTGTTTTATCTTTGAAGTCAACCGGTAAGGTGGAGGGTAGGACGGAAACCGATTTCTAGAGATCATGCTTTTAAATCGACGTTGTAGAGACTGAAAACGATAGCAATAGCCATAGGAATTGTTCTAGTGACCTCTAGATTGTTGCATTCCGATCCGACCAGCAGAAATACGAAGGGGAAAGGGGCAAGTAGGTGACGGGAAGGCTGTAAAAACCAACAGAAGGAGGTGGGGAGGTCGATTTTGGGGTGGCCTTCAACTTCAATTTGGCCATCGTCATGGCTGATCTGGTGTTTAATTGAGGGTAGAAGCAGCTCACAACTGGGTGATTGTGTTGGTGTTGCTCGGCAGGAGGAAGAAGGGAGGGGCCCAAGTTTTGGGTATGTGGCACTCAAACCGGTTATAGCAAGTCCAGAGGACTAAAAGGACAAGTAGATCACGAGTTTGTTCCCTCGTAAAACCACTTAAAAAGTTAAGTGACTAAAAGTTAAGTGACTAAAAGAGTTAATCCTAAAAAGTTTATAAAGGTATATATCATTTCCCAAAAAATAAAATATGTCTCATCAATGCTACAATGCCCATGTAGCAAATGATTTACCCATCTTACCCTAAACTTATTATGGTACACAGCGAATATTGGGGACGGGCTACTGCTAAGGATCTTTGTCTTCACAATGTTCAATTATTCATCAAGTCCCATCATGTTTCACACTATTTTCCATCTCGCTTTTCTATTCACCATAATTCCAGTCGACAAAGAAAATTTAATTTTTGGCGAAGAGTGCATTCACAAATGTAAATAATGATCTCAACAATCTATTTAACAATTTAACTTATTGAAAATTAATAATATATTTATAATGTATTTGGTGTAGGCCAAATTCGTACACATACATGTTAATAAATAAAAATCTGACATAAAGTAAAATCAAATTTGGTGTAAAACGTTAATCTTAGTAAAACACAAATACCAGAGTTTAAACTAAAGTGATATTTTAATTGTATTTAATACGTAAGTTGAATGACTATTGTGAAACTTGGATATGACCCAAGCCTAAAAGATCCCCACTTTCACAAAATAAATAAATAAATAAATATAAAAAATAACCCACTAAATACTTGAAATTTTTTCAAGGGACGTGTTTAACAACTTTGTGTCTGAATTCTTTTTTGTTCACAAATCTCCCCTAATCCCCAACATATCCTTCGCTAAATTTTAAAAATTGAATTATGTGACCTATCGATGAAATTGTCGTTGTTCCATAACAATTCTTTTGAATATTTCTCGGGCTTGTACTTTATATGGATTTATAAGTATAACTTTGGCGTCCAAAAATTGGCTAAATCTACACGCTTGGTGAATTGCAGTACAAATACACAAGAGGATGAAAGTGACGCTTTAATGCTTAAGGAATGTAGAGAACAGAAGTGGAGGAAAAACCGATTTATGTAAACAAGAAAAGACAGAATATTATACAACACAACAAGAAAGCGTAAATTCTGCTAAGCGATCTATCAGCCTGTGTTGTCTGCAATCTTCTCCGCCTCGTAGTGTTCCCAACTAGATTATACGAATTCGGAGTAGCAAATAAAGGTGATTCCAAGTCTCCCAAAATCCTCCCAGACACCATTTCTCCAAGCATCCCGATTGTTGGACTTGGAACAACAACAGCATCCATTAACATATCACCTCGGCTAGGCATAGCTAGAGGTGGAGGTGCATGTCGTTGATAGCCACCACGACGACTAAGTTGCTCAACTCGTGTGCTTAATGGATTATATCTTGGTGTTGGAGGCCTCGGTGGGATCATCATAGGATCCTTTTCTTCAGTACCATGATTAATGGTGGTTTGGCAAGGTCCGTATAATGGAACTATGGTCTTTTGTGACACTTCAGTTTTGCATACTGGGCACTTTGCGTTTTGAGCTTCTGGGGTTTCCGATGATGTATCGTTCTGCTGAATCCATTTGTAGATGCAGGGCCAGCAGTATAAGTGACCACAAAGTGTCACTACGGGTTCTTGGACAGCATCCAGACAGATATTACATTCAAAGCTGCCTGAAACGCTGTTTTTGGACTCATCAAAGTCTTTATCGGTGGATTTATCCTTTGTGTAAAAGCTGGTTTGATGTGCAGTTTGCATGGCCATTCTTAATTGTGGTCAGAATGCTTTTGATGGATGGATGGATGAAAAGGTTATGACGTTGTAGACTTGAAGCAGTGTGTTGTTATAGATGTTGACAAATGTAGATAAAAAAGTGGTCTTCGTTTTTAAGGAAACATAATAATTTCTTTTTCAACCTTCCGAATGCCTCTCCTTTTCCATTCAAAGTGATTTTGAATGTTGTAGTGTTTAAAAACAATTAGTTGATCTACTCCAAAAAAAAATAAGATTTTTTTGTCAAATATAATTAGTTTGCTAAATATAATTTTATGGTTTTTTTGAATTATTTTTTTTTTCACTTGTTATTTTATTGCTTTTAATTTTATTAAATTTTATATAATATTTTAATATAATAAGTATAATAAATATAGTAATAAATTGATATCAATTTAATTAATAAACTTATCTTTTAATTTTAAAATTCTTAAATTAAAGTTCATTAGTTTTTTGTTTATTTACTTAAATTATTTGTTTAAATCTAAAAGATAAAAAAAAACAATTTTAATAATTCATTGTTTTTCTTATTTTCTTATATATACAATGTTCTCAAATACTTAGATATTCGTATTTTAACTTTTTTTTAATTAATCCAAGTAATACATGGTTTTACAGTTACTACATAATATTTAGAAAAAATATTCATTGTGATACAGGATTTAATTGGAGTTTTCTACCTAAGGATGTTACTTATGTGACCTGATACAGATTCAAAGTTAATATGCATGCCATTAAGAATTGTTGGTTACATGTCATTTAATGAAATGGCTACATGTATTGCCATTTTCTTGAATTGTTTTAAATAAGCCTATTTCATTTGTTATTCTTCTCTTTCGTCGTCCTCATTCACTAAAAACCTTTACCTCCCACCAAAGTTTCTGTCAGTTATCGATGGCAATATTCATCTCAATCAAAGTTCATTTCCAAGGTGTGTTCATCAACAAACATTTTTGCTACTCTGATGGTATTATCATGTGTTCGAGAATATTGATTTTGTTGGTGTAACATCCCAAAATTCAAGGCTAAAAATTTCATTTTCAAATAAGATATTACATAAAACCATCAATACAAAAACATTCATTATAATATCTCATGACAAACCAAGGTGTCAGTAATCAAAACATATTATCATAAAACCATATCAGAGTGTAATCGCAAAGATCTCATGTGTGGAAAACATAGTTTGATGCGCTGCGATCGAGCCGACTCCTTTCCTTGAAAACAAGATACCTGAAACCAAAACTGAAAACCGTAAGCACGAAGCTTAGTGAGTTCCCCAGATACCACATACCATACAAACCAATTGATCCATACATGCCATACATAGCCAAGAACCATACATAACCAACATATCCATAATCAAGTAAGGTGCTATGTGCCAAACATAGTCTTGCTAAGGTGCTATGTGCCAAACATAGTCTTGTTAAGGTGTTGTGTGCCAAATGTGGTTATGCCACGGGCTGCACGTGGTCTTCCTGGTCAAGCCTAGGGCCACTCCCTGGTTCTTACAGACACGTGCCAAGGGACACCCCCTGGTCTTTTATGCAAGTATCACAAAGACAACTATACATACTAATCTATTAGGCTACTCCACATATAGTGTTCCAGGAGTCACCTCCTGGTTTTTCATACATAATAACATACAGTGCGCCAGAAGCCACCTCCTGGTCTTTCATACAGATTTCCTAGGGCTAACCCTTGGGTCTTTTTATCATACATAATAACATACGGTGTGCCAGGAGCCACCTCCTGGTCTTTGATACATATTGCCTAGGGCTAACCCTTAGGTCTTCCTGACATATATAGACTAAAAGGGTCGGCATTGTGGCTGTAGACCTATACAAACAGTGAGGAGACTCACCTCGCACTGCTGAACTTTGCTGATGATCCTCTCGCTGCTGACCGACAACTCTCTGAGCCGTTGCTCCACTAGCACCACTAGCAACTAATATCAACATAACACTTAGTTCCAAATTGAACTCTAGAAGTCAAAAATAAGTTAACTCTGGTCAAAGTCAACCTTCCAGTTGACTCGACTCGCTGAGTCAACTCAAAGACTCGCCGAGTTCTTAATCTCAGATACTCTGAAAATACTACTCAACTTGTCGAGTCACCCCAAGAATCATCAAGTTCAACGATCTCTGAGTCCCATCCTGCCCAACTCACTGAGTCACCACTCAACTCACTGATCTGCATCTTAACCAGAAAAGGTTAATGTTCCGCGACCTGACTCGCCGAGTCCAAGAACAGACTCGTCGAGACCATGGAAATCTTCAACAGAATCGCGGAGTTGTTCTTCCAAATCGTCGAGTCCATGACCACCTTCATCCAACTCGCTGAGTTCATCCATGTGACTTGCCGAGTCGCTTCAGTTCTTAATCCATACAGTGGTTTTTCGAGCCATGTTGGGGCTCCAACTCATAGATCCACTCTTCCAAAGTCTATTCCTCACGTAAAGTATCAAACTTTATGTGAAACCAAAGAGATATGGGCTTAAAACACTCTAGAGCTAGGGTTTAGTACAAAGGGGCTTCACCAACAACTTATTGACTTCAGCTTTAAGACATTCTGGACCATCACAACTCTAGATCTAATGTAGCAACCTTAGATCTAAGTCCCAAACCCGAAATAGATCTCAATCTTACAAAAATAGCACCAAAATCTCATTCAAGAATAGATCTAATTGCAATAAAGCCAAAGCAACAGCTTACTACCTCAAGGATGACCTCCCACTGAAGAATAATCCAACTCTCTACAAAGCCCCTTGCTCCAAGCTTCTTGATCTTCAATATCTCGTCACAAAACTCCCTTATCTAAGCTCCAAATTGCTCCTAAGGACTCTTACTCACGATTTAGGGTTTCTGGATCTTAAAAAGGAAGTAAAGAGGCTAGGGAAGGGATGTGATGTTCTTTAATTAGGGCACAACCCCCGAGATTAGGGTTTTACTCATCCAGACCAGACTCGCCGAGTCGACTAGCTGACTCGCCGAGTTGGTCACCTACTCCTCGACCCGGATCCCGCTTGGACTCATCGAGTTCCACCCTGGACTCGACGAGTTGACCCCTTTGACTTAGGGTTTTTCCTTTCTTGTCTTGGTCTTTCTGATTATGGTTGTTACAACTCTCCCCCACTTAAACTAAACTTCTTCCTCGAAGTCTGCCACGACCAACTACGTTACCATCTTGTCACCACATTACCACTAGGTACACCCTCCACCCATCCGATCCAAACCTTGAAGATGTCATCTTCAGAATAACCTGTTTCCTTACTACCTTTTAGTACAACACTTTTATCTAATCGGTAATGATACCGATACTCCTGTTACACTTACCCTCGATTCGCAAGGGGTTTACCCTTTTACTCTACACTGTCACTAGCCTTTCTAAGGTACTTTCTACAAGCAACAACCTTCCCAATTTCATCTGAGGACCGATCCTCTGCTGAAACCGCAATCCCGACCACTCCCAGTGCCGACCATCATACCAATACTCACAGAATAACCCCCATGCAATGCCCCAATATCGAAGGCTCCACCTAATCATGAGAATTCCGACCATCCTTCGGGTAGCAGATCCCTTTCTGCTACGTTTAAGGCTCAGAAAAGAATGGCGCCACCGAGCCAAATCCTTTACTCTGAGATCATTTGATCCCGCGATGAGCAACCTATCATCATCCGATGAGTTCACGGCTTTTCGCACCGAATCCCTTACCATCATTCATGCTTGAAGTCTTGATGACTCCCATTCGCCTACCGGATGAACCAAGACCGCCCTGGTCTGAATTGATCTACCATTTCCTAGAATACCAGTTTCCCCCATGCTACCTCGGAGGTACGGGACCCTCCGACCACACTCCGCAAACCAAGCTACTAATGAATGCCACAGCTTACAAGCAGTCTTACGCCACTCCTGGTCTCCAATGACCTACCGTCTTGCGGTCCTAATCACAATGTGGCCTACTCACATCCGAGCGGCTGCCCCGTCCTGAACTTAACTATATGAAAAACCCTGTCAGTGAATCACACGCCTGATACATTCGCACTAGCGAATAGGGACCGACAAATGCTACGGGCCACCCCGTAGTCTTACTATACTCGCTCTGCCAACTAGTGAATGTTACGGGCCACCCACATAGTCTTATGACACTTCAGCCCTGCCAGCTATCTAAAGCTACGGGCCGCCCCCACATTCTTGCTATACCAGTGCTACGGGCCACATCGCAGTCTTACTACTCTAATGCTACGGGTCACACCATAGTCTTACCACACTCCTCTTACTATCTGACCCCTGGTGAATAATACAGCCATCCGGTAGTCTGAAAACACCTTTCCATACTGACTGGCTACTAGTGGATGCTACGACTAACCCATAGTCTAGTATACAAGCACAATCTAGTACCACCGAGCTGAACGCATGTCCTATCTAAAACTCCTAACCGATTCTTCTGCAATCTGTTATCGGGCAACCCGAGAATGCGATCTCACAATTGGCAAGTTTTACGAATCTCTTGTTCACACTTTCCTCAATTCATACAGCAACCTGGGCCATCTTTCTTCCTGATAGGAGAGAAAAACTTATCCTAGTCCCAAAACCGCTATTGTTCCTATGACATGATTCTTTCTCCCCCACTTAGCTTAGGCTAAGTCTTTACCGCACGCGAAAAAAACCCGAGGATTTCCATTCCTTCCTCCCTTGCATAATAGGCATGATAACTACCATCGCCTTGATGTTGCTAGCGATCCATCACTAGTCCATTCTAAAAACCGTACGATTACTGAATACTAGATGAACACCTCCTGCATCCCGATACTGATAATCCCCTGGGCTCCAACTAATTCCCTTAAGGTCAGAATGAATAATGCTCAGAGCAACCCCATTAGTGATAGACCACTTCCCTTGATGCTTCCAAAAGCTATCCCAAGTACCAAGACCAGAGCCACCAAACCCTGATAATGGTGGAGGGCTACTCCCTGGACCCTGCCCACCGA